CAGCCGTGAGAGCTATTCTGGGATCCTGTAAGACATTTCCTTTGCTTTTAAAGAGGAACTGAGGGGGCGCCTGGGTGGCTCAGTTCGTTGGGCATCTGCCTCTTGATTTCGGCTCAGGGCAACTCAGGTTGCTGAGTGCGAGCCCCCCATCTGGCTCTCTGCTCTCAGCTTGGAGCGGCTTCAGATCTTCTGCCCCCCCTCCCTCTGCCCCTCCCCGGCTCGCCCTGTCTCAAAAATAAACATTTAGAAACATCATAACAATAAAGAACTGAGGCCCCTCCTCTAGACCCTGTGGTCACTTCCCGCGCTGACACTGGCCTCACCAGCCCTTCCCCTTTGTGCAGAACTGCTGATGACCTAGAACACAGGCTTGCGGCTGCACTAAGAAGGGCAAGTCTGAGGACAGAGTGTGGGGGCTCATGTCCACTTTCACGCTCTCTCTCTCCCTCCTCCCTTCTAGAAATTAATGGCGCCTGTTCTGCCTGCAGGGGGCTGGCGGTGCCCCTCCTCCTCCCAGACAAGGCGGCCTCTTCCACCCCTGGTGACCCTCCCCTGCCGTGGGACCGCACCTCTGCCGTCTGCCCCATCTCCCTGCCCCTTCCGCTTACTGAGGAAGCTCGGGGGGCCTCCGGGCCAGACCCCCTGGAAGGCAGCCGGGCGGACCTCTGGACCGGCCGGGCCCCCAGCGAGCCCCTCAAAGACAGCCTGAACCACCTCAACCTGCCCCCGCTGCGGGTTCCGCCCACGCGGTGGCCCCCGATCGCGGGCCCGGACGGGGGCCAGGCTCCAGACAGACTCCAGGCGGCCCCGGGGGGCCTCGGGCGCCCGCACTGCCACAAGCCCTGCCACCTGCGGGCGCCCCGCTGCTTCACCTGCAGGTTCTGTGACAAGGAGTACGCCAGCCTGGGCGCCCTCAAGATGCACATCCGCACGCACACGCTGCCCTGCCTCTGCTCTGTCTGCGGCAAGGCCTTCTCCAGGCCCTGGCTGCTGCAGGGCCACATCCGGACCCACACAGGTGGGTCTGTGGGCAGGAGGGCCCCGGGCAGGGGTGAGGGCGGGACCTGGGGGTCAGGCAGGGAGGGAGGCCTTGTAAACAAGAGGAGGGACGGCCACACGGCTTCTGCTTCCCTGCGTGCTGGTTTCCAAAGTCTCACAAACCAGAGGCTCAAACATCAAAAATGCCCTCCGTCCCAGCTCCTGAGGCCGGAGTCTGAAATCCAGGTGTCCCAGGGCCGTGCTCCCTCCAGAGGCGGCAGGGGACGGTCCTTCCTGCCCCGTCCACCTCCCGGGGGCTCCAGGCGTCCGTGCGCCTCTACCCCCGTCCTCACACGGCCTCTCCTGTGTGTGTTTGTGTCCCAACCTCCCTCTGTTGTAAGGACACCAGTCCCACTGGACCGGGGCCCACGTGCTCCAGTGTGACCCCATCTTAACCTGATGACAAGTAACCTTGATGACAAGACCCTATTTTCCAAGTGAGGTCACCCTCACAGGTACTGGGGATTAGGACGTGGACGGATCTTTTTTGAGAGACACAATTCAAGCCCCACCACCTGGCAAAGCGCAGGCTGCTCGGGGCCGTAGAGGGTCTGACTTCCCACGATGCACGCCCTTCCTGAGCTCTGGAGCAGCAGGAGCGGCACAGGGAGAAAGGCCTGGCCTTTGGTGGCAACCATGGGGGTCACACGGACGAAGGGCACAGACGAGGACCGGGTCTTGACGGGGGGCTGGGACCCCAGGGGCAAACCCATCCCTGGTGAGAGCGCACCAGAGCCGTGAGCTCAGACCTGAAGGAGGCCTGGGGGCCTCAGCACGTTGTCCGTACATCAGCCACCGCTGCCCAAAGGAGCAGAGGGGGAGCTGCCTGCCCCAGGGCAGCTGGGGGTTGAACCACACCTCGCCCCGGCCCGCCAGGAGAGGGACAGGTGGGCACAGAGAGACCGAAGCCCAGGGATAAGGCTCACCGGGCTGAGGCCCACGGCTGAACACACGCCCCCGTCACTGGAGCCTCCCCAGCCCTGAGCCAGGGCTCTGTAAGTAGGACTGTTCTGAGTCACACCTGGGGGAGGCTGGAAAGAAGGGTTTCAAGGGAGCCTTCTCCTGGCCAGCCCCAGTCAGTTTTCCTCAGCTTCCCCCCCCCCCCCCCCCCCCCCCCGCTGGGATGTCTCTGAGCATCCCACATCACACTGCCAGGGGCTCAGTGCCCTGGTCTGGGGGCCCAGAGGGTGGGAGGCCCTGCAGGAGGCTGGCCGGGGGAGGGAATGTGCCTGGGCATTGGGCAGCAGGGACGCTCTGGGCCCAGGGGGACTGCACGCTGGTGTTTCTCAGGATTCTATTGGGTGTATGGCTGGAAGTCACTCCACGTGGGCGGAAGAGAACAGGTGACCTTTAAGGATCTTTTTACACTTGTTAAGGTTGTCCTGGGGGCCCAGCTCCCAACAGAAGGGCTTTGTCCAAATCCCTGGTCGCCCTGCCTGGAGGTGGCCCAGAGGACACAAGGGTCTTAAGCTGTTCCGAAATGCCTGCCTCCATCGTAAGGGCCGGGGCTCGCCTTCCCGGGAGAGTCTGCAAGGGCCCAGCCGCTTTCCACCACCGGCCTTCCGTGGGCAGGGACAGCTGAGGGCTCCTAGTGCTGCTCAGGACCAGATCTGGGCAAAGGGCCCCAGGAGGGCTCTGGCAGAAACAGAAAGATCTAGCAAAGACCATGCTAGCTCTTTCCCCTTGGAGAGGGCTTCAGATGTTGCAGTCCTGCCCAGGGGTGACATCCCACCCTGTCCCCAGGCAGCTCTGAGCCTGACCGTGGATGTGGACCTCGTGGCCCTAGGGTTTCCTTCCTCCTGGGGCAGGTGCCGGCCCCCCGGCACGCACCTCCTGGGGAAGGGTGAGGGAAGACCGATGCGTCAGAACTGCCGTGAGCATGTGGAGGAGGCGGAGGGGCTTATACATCGATAAGCAGGGACGGCGGGGGGTTGGGGACGGGGGGCTCGGCCACCTCCTGGGGCGGACCAGACGGACACTCACCCGGCGCCCTCCCGCCCCCAGGTGAGAAGCCGTACACCTGCTCACACTGCGGCAGGGCCTTCGCCGACCGCTCCAATCTCCGGGCCCACCTGCAGACACACTCGGACACCAAGAAATACCAGTGCAACAGCTGCGCCAGGACCTTCTCCCGCATGTCGCTCCTGGCGCGGCACGAGGAGTCTGGCTGCCGCCGCGGCCCCTGACGGGTGCGGGCTCAGTGCCGGCGGGAGGGACAGGACCTCACCCCTCTCCGCACCTGTGATGCCCAGCGAGCCCGGCCCCACGCTCACTCGGTGGGTTCCTCCTCTCCCCGCCGGCCACCCACTTCCGTCCAGGGCCAGAGCCGCCCGCGGGCTGTTAGGGCGGCTGAGGGAAGACCGTCACGGCGGCGTGAGCCACCATTCCCTGATTTCCGGTTCTCTTCTCCCAAGAGAAAAGGCGTCTGGGGGTGGCTGCCAGCTGGGCCAGCTGCTGCCACTCGGCCTTCGTGGGCACGGCCACCACAGGCTCACCTCCGCCTGCCTGCGCGCACGCACGCGGCACTGGGTGTCCCGACGCAGAGCCAGGGCCCCGTCCCCAAGCACAGGGCAGTGAGGAGCCTGGCACCCCTGCCTGTCACGTTCTCTGAGACCCCAGGTCCTGCCTGGTGCCCCGGGTCTGCGGAAGAGGCCGAGCCCGGAGTAATTACCCAGATTCCTGGGTAATTTGGGCCTCTGGCCATGGAGCAAGGGAGGCAAAGTGTAGGGACGGGGAGCGGGGAGGTGGGTGGCGACACTCCAAGCAGGTGAGCAGGGCCACCTTCTTTGGGAACAAGGAGACCGGAAATGGGGACAGCCTTATACAGGGAGGGAGAGCGGCCGTGGAGCGTAGACACGCCGGGGGTGAGGCTGTGAGGGCAGAGCTGGGGAGAGTGAGGCCCAGGGAAGAGGCCAGCCGGGGGCCGTGTGTGTCTGCGTCGGCGGGGTGCTCACAAGAGAACCCAGTCCTGGGTCTGCACACGTCTCCACCGAGACCACCGTGTCCACAACCGCCCGTGGCACTGTCGCCCCTTCTCTGCCGGCCCTCTCCCGAGGCCATAGGCGTCCACAGCGGAGGGAGTGGGTGCTGCCTGAGACACATGCCTCCTGAACCGACTCAGATGCCAACAGGAGTCCCCTCCCCAGCATCCTGCCCCCGAGTGCGGCCTCTGCCCACCCCCAGACCCCCGGGATGTCACCTGCTGGGCTGGGCCTCGATCTTGCTAGCGTGTCTTAGCGTCTCCGGCCTGCCCCTGGAGGGCAGCCCGAGTCTAATGGGGACTGACTGAGTTCTTGATGCCCAGAGGGGACAGCCGCCCCACTTCTGGCCCAGGCTGAGGGACAAAGTTAGGCTCCTGTTCCTGGCCCTGAGTGGGGGCCACAGGGCAAGCGGCAGAGGCCGCATGTCGGCCCTGGGCCTCACAGACCCACTGAAGCACATTCACCAGCCCGCTGCTGGGCCACGCGGCACCTGGAGATCCTGCCCGAGGCTCTTCGGGGTGAAAGGGCCTGCGTGGCTGGTTTGATAATGGCCATCGGAGGGGTCTTGGGGACATCCCAGAGGAAACCTGACCGTGATGTGGGGCTTCTCTGGACCAAGGGTGACCTCGACGAAACTGGCCACCCAGGAGGGCCGCGGCTCCGGGATACAGCAGAACAGATCAGCGGGTGCAGTGAAGACGTTTGCTGGGGAAGCCACGCTCACATTCCCAGGCCTGCACCTGGCCTCCCCTCCGCGGGGACCTGCCATCCCTCGAGGGACAGACAGTGCGAACCAGATGCTTAGTTGATAGGTCAGCGGGCTGTGACTCCCATAACAAAGCCCCATGCACCATGCGGCTTAAACCACAGAGATGTACTCCCACACTCTGGGGGCCAGAAGTCAGGGCCCCAGGTGCCACAGGGCTGGTCCCCTCGGGGTCCGGCCTCTCTCTCTCTCTCTCTCTCTCTCTCTCTCTCTCTGTCTTGGCTCCTGCTGGTTTGTGGGCATCTTTGATGCTCCTTGGCTGGTGGACACATCACACTTCTCTGCCTCCACCTCCCATGGCTTCTCCCTGCGTATGTGTCTGTCTCTGTGTCCAAATTTCCTCAGTTTGTGCGGACACCAGTCCTACAGGGTTAGGACCCCCCTTAATGGCCCCATCTTAACTCGATTACCTGAAAAAACCCTGATTCCAAATAGGGTCAGGATTTCAACATATGAACCCGCAGAGGGGAGGACACCATCCCCCCCCCAACAGTTGCTGTGAACACAGTTTGCCAAGAGATGCCCAGTGGGTCCCTGTGCTTGGGCTGAAGGATGAAGGACAGCAGAGTGGATTCCTCTGTCCCCTTGGTCCACAAAGGGTCAAGGGTGGCGGTCAATTTTAACTGACGGGCCCACCGGCAAACACCTCCTGTGCCTGTTCCCACTTCCTGTCCATCATCCCAACCAGGGGCCCTGCCCTAGCAGGGTGGTCCTCCCTCCCATCGGTCTCCCGAAGAGCTGGGCTCCTCTGTTGAGTGGGTCAAGCCAGCGTTCTGGCCCATATCCGGCCATCTCACAGGAGGGCTTTTTTTTTTTTTTTTAAATAGCATCCAGATGCCCAAAGGAAGCTATATTGTAAATTGTGTTCTATTTCTGGGCCCTGATAGCTAAATGAGGCGATGCACCTGTTGGGTATGAAGGGAGGGAATTTCACGGCCCTAAAATAAAGTCAAATGCTTGCCCTTCTGTGCCGGCCCGTGGAAAATGCTCTTATATTTATATCTGGACTGGCAGAGGGCAGGGTGGTGGAGGCCAGGTTGGCAGAGAGGGTGAAGAAAGGCCGAGCACCTGCCAGGGAGCTGATGGAGAATGAATGGGGGAGACGGTCCACGAGGGGCAGGGCGGCTGCAGTCAGACCCCAGGGAGGCCACCTGCCCAGCTGCCTGGCCGCTCAGGGTTCCCAGCTCCCCCCTCATCTTTTTCCATGCTATTTTGCCTGGTCATCAGAATTCACCTGGGACGCCCATTTAGAAGCTGGCTTTCTGGAGCCCTCTCTCAACACCTACAGAACGGGAGTCGGCAGGAGGTCTATCCCTGGGTGAAGGTGGATGACTGGTTCTTTTCTCAGGATGCTGCTATTTGGGTCCCTCCCACCTACAGGCCATCTTTTTTCTATCCCAACTGTACTGACCACATTTCCACTCTTCACCCTAAAGAAGGCCTTTCGGTCCTGGTCCAGCACATTGTTGGGTCCTCCCTCCAAGGTGGGAGGAGGGACCAGAGGTCCCGGGGCCCAAGGAGCTGGGAGCAGGTGCCACAGCTGCAGCCTGGTTATGTCTGGTGAAGGCAGAAACCTAAGAGACGAGTGAGGATGCGGGACACGAGGAAAATCATGTAACCAGCCCTCCAAGGTTGGGGACCCCATCTTTTAGCACGACAGGTGCACCTGGATGGCGGTGTGAGGGCCACAGACAGGGTCAGCACCAGATACCCAGCAAGGAAAACCACCATTTTCTGACTCAGATGCCAGCGCCCAGCCGCTGTGAGCTCAGGTCCTAGAAACAGGTGCGAGAGGGACACTAGGTCTCCGGTAGCCCTGCCCTGGCCCCACTCCCAGCTGAAAGAAACCTCTCTCCTGAAAGCTACAGACACACTAAGGTTACACCCTCCCTTCCAAAAGCCCAGAGGGCTCCCTAAATATCATTTTGGCGCAGAATATTCTGGGGAGGGGGGGGTTCTCTGGAAGTTTGAAAATAGCCCGCGTGTTACTATCTTTGTTCAGAGAACCCACCCCTGGCCTCCACTCGGTGGCTAAGTATAGCTCCCTGGCAAAGTTCAATGGAACAAAAGTTTCCAGGCCTTCATCACTTGCAGATGGCCTGACATTCAGGGACACAGCTTGGCCAAGACTCAGAGAGGCTCCGAGGAGGCTGGGAGGACGCCGGCTGCTGGCCGCACCTTCCTGCTCCCGAGTGGGGGAGTGTGCGGGACTCTCCGGCCATCGGGGCGGGGGGGGGTCCTGGCCTGGTCCCGAAGGAGGGGTTCTGATCCCAGCTGAGTCAGTCCCACTAGAAAGCCTTGGCTTCCACTGCTTTAAAAAAAGGAATCCTGTTAAACTCTATTTCAGAATTCAGGGGAGTGCCAAATACACATTAAAAAAAAAAAAAAAAAAAGACACTTCGGATGCCTAAAATAAAATAGAATAGCTAACTTTAGAGAAACTCCCCACCTTTACCTCCTCTTAGAATCTGTGTGCACTTCCTGACCACCGAGTTCTGGCTCCAGTCTCCCCTCCCAGCTGCCCGCCCAGCCCACTGAGCCCCTGGGATCGTCCTCAGGGCCCAGGAGACGCTGGGCAGGGCTCAGGTACACAGTGGGGCCGAGGGCGGGAGGGCTGGGGGCAGAGGTTCAGGGTCCGTCTTGGCGGCTGGGTGCGGGTGTCTCTGGTATGTGCAAAACCTGGAGGCTGCCTTCCCACACGACCTCCGTCAGTGCTGCGCCCCCCACCCCCAGGCTGACCGGAGGGCATCCGTCCCCTCCCCCTCCCCACACCTCTGCCCCATGGGCCCCTCTTCCGTTCTCCTGCAAGGATGCACCCTCCCCGGGTCCTGAAGGAAGACGTGCAATCACTTGTTTTGCCTGCTGAGCTCAGACACGCCAGCCCCTCTCCTTCCCTGGCTGTGGGCCTGGGCCCAGGACACATGTGACACACTGATTTCAGAAATGGGAGTCTCGGGGGCCGCCTGGGGGGCTCAGTCGGTGGAGCGTCTGACTCTTGACTCCAGCTCAGGTCATGATCTCACAGTTCGTGGGTTTGAGCCCTACGTCAGGCTCTGCGCTGACAGCTGGGACCCTACTTGGGACTCCTCTCTCTCTCTCTCTCTCTCTCTCTCTCTGTCTCTCCTCCACTCATAATCTCTCTCTCTCTCGAAAATAAGTAAATAAATATTTTTAAAAATTAACAAAAAAGAAATGAGAGTCTGTAAGGAGGGCGGTCCTGGAGCCACAGGTCCCTCTATCTGCACACGAACTTGGGAATGCCAGTGTCTCACATCGGCCAAAGAGAGGCTGGGATCGAGGACTGTCCCAGGCCGGATCCTGCTGCCAGCCCCTTTGCTGGGCGTCGGATGAGCTGTGGCTCCCTGTCGCTACCTTGGTGACGGCTGTCTCCCTCCTGCTCTCGCAGAACATGCCCCTGTGCCAACAGTACATAAGTGCT